ATCCTTTAAAGACAGCCCCGCGCTCAAGTAGTACATGGTCGTCCTTCCTTGTGCAGGTAGTTCAGCCCCCAAGCTAGATACTGTCCCACTCTCGCGACTCCTCAGCGAGGAGGAAGTACAACCGCTCAGATTCTAGCTCTCAACGCCCGCCCAGTTGGACCGCCCCACTTGCTAGCTGCCCTCTGACGGAGAGCCGCTCAGTTGTTCTTTGTTGGGACGGCGGGCATTAATCGGAACTGCATGTACTTTTTGCTGACCGCGCTCGTGCCCATAAATAATTCTGCTCTCCTTCATCACATTTTATTCATTGGGAGCCGCATCACAATCAAACTGCAACCCATCTCTAAGCAGTAAAGAGCGTAATTCACAAATCATGCAACTCTGAGTGCAAAAGCTCGACATGCACCAAAAGCTGCACACTGCACGTAAACCCAAATTCGGACGCCAGGTTTTTGAATTTTTCCTTTTTTCAAGTGTTTTTCGTTCGTGTCTTTGTTGTTTTTCATATTGTTTTCTTTAGAATTGGATGTTGATTTACTGCTGAGACAATGCATAAAGCGCAATTTGTAAGCCAGGGGTTGCCCACGGACCGCAGGGCGGTGTAACTGTAAGGGAGCAATTTTGTTTGTGGTGTTCTTGAAGGCTCTTGTTGCTTTTTTCCTTCATTGAGGAATTACTTATCAGCTACTGTTTCATAATTGATCAGCAATTATCCTTGACATTTTTAATCGCGGGAGCTGTCTCTCAGTCTACCCACAAGTATATCATCTTACAACATAAACTTCTTTCTCAGTTCGCTCTGAAAGGACTTATTGTGAGACAGAATTATCGAGTTTTGTGGGCCCGAAGGAACTCAATTCCAGGAGGTGTTTTAGAGGCTCGGATGAAACTAATATGCAGGTGTATTGCCCATTTGCCACGTCAAATGTATAAACTTTAGCGAGTATGATTCAAAAAGGAACTCATTTGCAACCAAGTTTCGCTTAGAAATTTAGAATTCTTAAACAAGAAGACATCCCAGTAGGTGGCTCAAAGCTTGCAAAATTGCGAAGGACTCGATATCTTCCTGGAATTTGGGTCCTGAGGATTGGGTGGGTTGACAGAAGAATCGAAAGGGTGGTCACTCGACTACCCTCGTCGCCCGTCCTCTTTATTTATAACTGTTCATATTCGCAATTGTTAATCACTGGTTCACTGATTTCAATCAAACAGTTCAATAAACGCGCTGGTTACTCACAGTACCTCAATTACTTGCGGATCCGAGGAATCTCAACAAGTGCAATCTTCGGTCCCTCTGACATGGGTGATCGATGGCAGCGCATTCCGGTGCTGCGATCACGTGAGATACTGTTTCCATGTAAGCAGCCGTCACCATTGTCTTCGTGTGCGCCGCTCTACACATTATCACCCTCTCTACGTTCTTTTTTCTCTGGGTTGTACTTGTAATTGGCGGCTGCACCGCGGAATCAGCTGTTTGCAGCCAGTGTTCTACTATTTGTTAGTATTACTCAATTATCAGAATTAACGAAGAAGAAATATGTTAATTCACATTTACTCCAATATTGCAGTACAACAAGCGATAAACCGCTTTTTAGCATTTGAACTGGACTTCGTAATGGCTTTAAACGACACAAACCTTTGATTTTAGACTGTTTTCTTTGTAATTTACTCTTCAAGTGCTGGACCTGCTTTCTATGGCAGTGTCTCTCATGTATCTTCCTTGCATCACGCCTCGGATATTACGTGGGAATAAAACAAATAAACTTTCCAGTGAGAGAATTTTGGTAGTGTGGAAAGGTTGAGGACCAGAAAGAGGAGCAGAAAATAAAGTGCACAAATTCATTTGGAGGGAATCTTTGAAAATACGACCCAATGATGGCTTTTCTAGACGAGACGGATTTCCACGACTTAATGGTCTCTTCCTTCTTGTAAGACGGCGATGGGAATGCACCTACGACTAAGGCGCAATAACTGGTCATCTCAGCCCCACAGTAGGTGCAGTCTGCACCTCCACGAGTAGCATCAGCGAAACTGTTACAGTTGTGCAAGTAACAACATATGCACCACAATGCTTGAAAACTCGATTACGGGATAGTTTGAGCTTCTGAACGAACGGTCATGTGTACTGACTAACCTCAACTCGCAGCGGTTCTTCCACGCCATCGCCAGCTTGGGCTGCTTGAGCCGTGACGGTCAGCTTGACCATTCCGATTTCTGTTGGCACGATGGGGAAGTAGACGGCTTTCGACACTCCACCACCTGGTACGGACACAACACGGATATTGTAGTTTTCAGCAGTGTCACGACTAAAATAGTTCAATGTTACTTTGCCAAGGAACACTGGAAGTCCATATTGCAGCCGCAGGTCCTGCACTAAAAGGTGCACTTCAAAGTTATGTGAAGAAAACCCTTCAAGAGAGCGTTCGGAAAGACCTTGGGGACAGAACTGAAAGGGATAAGAAATTTCTATCTCATAACTAACCTCTTTCGAATGCTGCCATCCTTATTCAAAAAGTCGAAACCAGAGCTGTCATCGTGTTTGAGCGTTACCGTAACCTAAAACACAGGTGATGTGACTCAACCAAAAGTCCTTTAGGCTGGTTCCCAAACATTACGTCTTGTTCCTTTTCCATGTAATTGAACACCAACACTTGTAAAGCAAACTTCTCGCCACGTTTCACTGAGTATGGCAAATTCAAACGGATGAAGAACGGACGGAATACTCGCAACTGAAAGGGAAAACATTACATATGACATCATCTCAAAATTCGCTTTCTCCTTCGCCAACTTCGACTTTCCTCCCCGCCCCTCCCCCTCTCCCCAAATTGCTTAGATTCCACATCGTTGGAGCAGTCGAGGTAATGTTAAGAGGCGTGGAAAGAGCCCACCCGCAGCATTTCCTGGCACTGGTTGTTTTCGTCTTCAATCGATTACTCACTGATCGTTATCGGTAGAGGTAACAGTGGGAGGCAGAATCATTCGGCCCTCCCCCACTGTCCCGAATAATTGCGACGATATAAACTATAAACTGTGCGCGGGCGGAAGCAGGAATTCTCCCCTCCAGTGGCCAAACATGACCCCCTTGAGATTTCCACAACATTGGATGTGTCCTGCATAACATACTCCCAAGCTGCAGCCCTCACCTTGGACGTGGTCGGCGCGACACCCAATCCGGAGTTGTCGTTGATGGCAAATGCGCTTGCCACCCATGATGTGATTGTGTCTGGTGCCAAGGACTGATAAACTGCTTCGCCGTTGGAGCTGAAACGATTACTTCGTCAGGAATAGATTAGTAATATGAGATGCTAACTTATTTGACCTATACCAATTGACAACTTCTCTCCCTTCAAAGATATTTTTCAAACATCTATATATAACTCATTTTTCAAAGGCAGTGGGTACGATGCCTGGGGGCGGCTGACAACGTCATTGGAGGGAGGGCTGCGATAAGGCATTTGGCCACACCTACCCAGCCATTCCACCAGTGACGTTGACAGCAACCGCCCGCCCCCACCATCGTGCCCACTGCCTCTAAATATCGTGTTTGAACGAGTTTAATGCGAAATTCTTACCGCTCTATAAACGGTGAATATCGAACTGAATAGATCAATTTACCAAGATATCTTTGTATAATACAACCTTTTTGCCTCATTAGATCACCGCTGCGTTTAACCTCTTACCCCTATAAGTATTATCAAAGTGTAGTTGAAGTTTGTCCATTTGGGTAATAAGGTATCCTTACTGCGTGAACCTCTAATACGTTTAAACTGTAAATTTCGGCGCAGTTCGGCTTGGGTAAAGGGCATTTTGTCATCCTATTGTCAAGCCATCAAGTAGAGATCTGTTCCCCCTACAAGCCGAACTACTCAAAATCTGTGACCTATTGAGCGCTTCAGTCACACAGACGACTTGTCCCACCTTGTCCACATGAAGAGCACCATCCAGGTGCCAGGAAAGTGAGTCCTGTAGCGCACAGATAGACGTGAACGTTCCGCATCTCTTATTGCCACATTTCTCATCAGTATCTCCGAAATACTACCCCGTAATTCGGCGTAGTGCACTGGAACTCACTGGGTACTCACTGCACTGACGATGACCACAATGGCCTCTATGTAAGGTTTCTACGTGAGTGATCAATGAATTATTTGGATGCACCTACCAATTATTTCTATTACAACATTTACTACTCCAGTCCGTAGGTATTGAACTCAAGTAGAATAAGTCGCTACAGTAGTCGCTACAGTCAATGATTCCACTACAGTAGTCAAACGAAATATGAAAGAAGACGGAAAATGGCTAATTGCCTGAACTCTTCCACGATAGAATCACCCAGGCGTGACTAACGTCAAAAGTGAAACATGGAGGAGATTGGAACTAGAACTTGGTCAGTTCTACCCTTAATGACTAGCAGCGCGCCATTACACAGCGACGAGGTTTCGTGGGACAGCCTTATCACGGCAATCCACCGCTCGGCAAAGAATGGGGACAATTTATGAACAGCAATCTCTCCTGTTCGCGGCGGACGGAGGGGCGTGGCGGGATGACTTCAGCACGGGTCTGGCACCGCGCCAAACTGATCCCGCCACACCCCTTCGCCCGCCGCGAACTAGACGATAGATCTCACAAGATTTTGAGGAATTCATGTTAAAATAAGGAGCCAAAACTCTCACCTAATCTCAAAGTAATCAAACAGCCATGTCTCTGGAAACTTCGTTCTAAGTACTATTGGTGCAGGTTCTGGACTGCTCTTTGCCGCAACACCTGCATCCTCTCTGCGCATCGCAACTGGGACAGGGTAATCGGCAATTCGATAATAAATCACTAAAATCTATGAGTAAAAAAATGACCTAGTGCGGAGTTTGTCACACTGCAAAGGATTCATACACACAACATTTCCAAGGCACTCCCACCATCACTCCACTGTGGATGCATGACCGAAGATACTGGTTAGCTACATACATAAAAAAACATCAAACTATCCAGACTAGAATCTCTAGAACCGGTCGGGGGTAAACAGCGAGGGTCATTGCAATGTACATATCTGTGCGTACTGAACCCGAAAACTGTACATCTCAGGTCTCGTCTACTCCGTGGCAATACCGATTTAATTGCAACTTGATCATATTTCGGTTTCACTCCAAATTCATGGATCTTGCAGTTACAGCGGTATAATGATTAGCGGTGTAGGGCGGTTAATCGCAGTCGCTTGATCTATTAACCTGGTCGAGAAGTATGAAGGCGGCCAGATGTGAAATCCTCCCAGTGTGCGGGACGAGCAGATCTGCAGCAGCAGATTTCGAAAGAGGTTTGGCAACGAGGCTAAGATTTGTAATTGATCGATGTTTTTGGGTGTAACTGCACAGTGAATGCTTGTATG